AAAAAAAGTTGGAAAAAATTTAAAAATCTTGCCGCCAAGGTCTTGTCCACTGGACATTTGACACAGGTGGCCCTTGACAGTTAATAAAGCATTTTTTCAAACTAACACAATGTTGTAAATCAAACTTCAATAAAAAAATTTCCATCTATCTCATCTAGAACATCTAAAAATTATTTTACATTATTTAAAAATACAAGTATTAAGCCATTTGCCAGGTATTTTCCATTTGCGACCACATGGCTGGACTTAAGAGAGTATTATGCTGAGTGAAGTCAGTCAGATGGAAAAGGACAAAAGAACCCCTTCGGTTCAAAAGGGCCGCACGTAAGCTGGGAGGCCGCGTCACCGCGCGCAGCACAGAGGCCGCGTGGGCGCCCCCGGCCTGCCGCCTGCCGCCCCGGGCTCGCGTCCGCTGGGAGACGCAGGTCCCTGGTGCAGCACCACGGCAGACAACCGGTAACTCAAAAGTAGGTCATCTGAGTAATGAAGAACTTTTTTTTTTTGAAGGTGAAGGATTATTTATTTTACTATCATTTTTGTTAATGGAGGTACCGGGGATCGAACCCAGCGTCGCGTGCGTGCCACGCATGCGCTCTACCACCGAGCTCGGCCCTCCCCCGTGACAAACCTCAGCCCGGCTTGTCTCTGCCCTCCAAACAACCGCGAGCGCGCGGGACTCGGCTTTCTCTCCCGCACACTCCCGAGAAGTTGAAAAAGAAAAAACAAACACTAAGCAGGCAGCTTCCGGGGTTACAGAGATTTTCACACAATCACGGCAAAGAAGTTGAAATGGAGTATTACTTTCTGCTACAATGAGAGAGATTCTCACGGGAAGAAGAGCTAGCAGTAGTCACAGAGATTACTAGGGAGGGAGCAGGGATTTGCACAGTATAAAACGCAAGATAAACGGATAATAGGCTGTTTTAGAAAGTTGTTTTTGAAACCTTTTTTTTGATAAATGTATTTTTTTCTGTACTAGGTTCACCTTCTGTGATAAATCGTGCCACTCTGTTACAGAAAAAAACAAACCGGCTAACAAATACGAAGGGCAGATCCAAAGTGCTGGCTGATTCGCTTATTCGTATTACAGAATGATCATGTAAAGTCTTCAAATCAGCATTTGCTGGGTAATTTCAGTGAATACTGGTCCAAACTAGTACCTTTCTCCCCAAAGTTTAAAAATCCATGCAATTTTCCTTCTGAATGAAAATATATAGGTTTCCCATACTTTGGCCATACAGAAAGTTTCCCTCTAAAGTTCACCAGAGTTGAATTAATTATTCCATTCCATTATTTTTATGGGTTTATCACTAAACATAGCAAAAGTTACGAGCCAGTTGCCCCAAAGGTGCTCACTTACTGAATGCCTGTTTTGTTTCTATGTCTGTATAGGCAACTTGTAACTGACTGGTGATGATTCTGATATTTCAGCTATAAGGTCAAAGCAGGAAAGAAAAAGGGTTTGATTGATTGACTCTCATTCCCTGGCCGAGAAGTTCCTGCATCACTGCTGACCTGTTTCAGCTCCGTGTTCCGCTCACCGCATCTCTCTCTCCTTTATTAACTGTCACTTTCCCTACATAAACTGTCAGCGCCGTGGATGAGAACCATGTTACATATTATATGTTAGTCAAGGCATCCTCAGGGATTTCTCCAATTAACGTTTGCTTTATAGGTGCATTTTTGTACAAGATGGATAAAGTTATCAAATGACCTATCCCATTAGTTGTTACGTGTCTTACAAACCAATTTCTTTTCTTTTTCTAACTTGAAAATTGATTTATACAATAGATCTCTCCCAGAAATAAAATATCTTAAATGTAATGGTGTTTTCTAGTCAAAGAATCCTTTGGTGAACCCTTCTGTGGCCTGAATCATCAAGTCTTGGGTCACGTGTTTTGCCAACGAGGGTTTTCACTGGTCGGTTCTGCTTTTTTTAAGCTGAAGTACAGTCGGTTACAACGTGTCAGTTTCTGGTGCACAGCACAGTGTCCCAGTCATGCATACACATACGTAGATTCGTTTTCATATTCAGATGTGTAAGACATACGTTTGCTCTTCACTCCCCTATTAAACAGCACTGCACCCACTTTGGATTTTAGAGCGAGACCCTGTTGGATGAGTGGAGGTTGACAGGAGACCGAAACTGCCCCCAGTTCTTCTGTGATGTTTGACGCAGGATCCCAAAGTCTCCTGCGTTTGGCATCTGTGTGTTCCTTTGAAATCTAGTTAAGCTTCATGTTAATACAGTTTAGACACACGAGTTAATGAACCCCATCATTACAAATTCTGAGCTGGAAACTGTATGTAAACAGACAGAAGCATCCCCGACCCTTTCTCCAGCGCCTTTAAATTTTGATGACCCGCAAAAGCATTCGGGGCTTCTCCTTTAAGTATCAACCTCTTATCATCTATTCTACTTTATTCACTCAGGGACTAATTACCAACTTTTTATATGAAGCAGCATTACGAGAAGCTCACAGTGGGGGTGCTCAGATTTTTCCCATCCTTATTGGAAAGTAAACCCTTAGGTCTTCTTGAATATATTACAGCTGGCTTTTTGGTCCTACGCAGCATTCAGGCCCTGCAGATGAACACGCTGATTTCTGCCTCCCTGGTACCTGCCACGTGGCGCAGCCGGTGACCCTCCCGTGCAGCACGCTCTTGTCAGAGATGGCGCCTTTGCTGAGCGCGGGGGCTGGGGGGCCGGGGGGCTCAAATGGCCTGAGAATATAATTATCTTTGTTAACTTCCCACACCTAGGGAAAAAGAAATCTCTTGTGTTGTTCAAGGACACAGAAGTGGGAAAAAGAGGTACCACTTTGCACCCAGGGAACCTTTTTCCCTCGAGGCTTTTGGAGGGATGACAATGAATAACTGCTTTCCAGT